ATGACGTCACTAAAACCTCGATATCTCAAAATTTTTCCTACCGATTTTTTTTTGAAATTTTGTCACAATAGACTTGAATCAATTGCCTACAGGTACCCAAAATTTGGCGCGCCTGCGGCGCGCCGTTTTTATGCTATGGCCCGGCGAAAAAAGTGGGGGCGTTTAACGCCCCCCCCAGCAACTCGCGGGTTAAAGATGATAATGTGCCTTGCCTAAGTCAATGTTTGATAACCTGTATCTCGGAAATGTGACGTCATATCTTGACAAAAAAGTGTCTCCTATCTTTTCACATATAGATGAGTAGTTTCACAAAGTTTCGCAAAAATCGGAGGAGGTGAGGTTCAAAATGATCATTTTTTGTCCCACTTGACGTGGAATACGAAACCGTCGGAACGCTGCTTTCTTCAGTTGGAGAGCGAACCACGGGGGCAGGCGGCGCCGGAGGATCACCGTGGGAACGTGATCGGCGATGACCGACTCCAGCAGGGTGTAGAAGGTATCCACTGCATCGTCGACGCCGACGTCCTCCAGCAGTCCCCACGGGATCGCAGCAAGACTCCGGCGCAGACCGTCGAAATCTGCCCGCCTGTAGTTGAGGGCTGTGCGCCGATTGACCACAGGACGGCGACGAAACGTCAGCCAGGGCTGCGGAGTCGATGGATTTTCGGCGACTCCGACTCCGACTCCGACTCCGGCTTTCAAAAACCAGCTCCGATTCCGACTCCGACTCCGGGCAGAATTGTCGACTCCGACCGACTCCAACTCCCGACTCCGACTCCGCAGACCTAGCAGGACTGCGGAGTCGACACAGATTTTCGGTGACTCCGACTCCGACTCCGGCTCGGGTTTCTAAAATCGACTCCGACTCCGACTCCGACTCCGGTCACAACTGTCGACTCCGACCGACTCCGACTCCGACTCCGACTCCGCAGCCCTGACGTCAGCAATAGTTTCTTTGTGGTCTGAGGTGAACAGGCAGTCTCTGACATCAACACGTGTGTCCATGCACCTTGTGAGCACTAGGTCGAGAATGTTCTCACCCCTAGTGGGCTGACAAACCCACTGACGGAGGCCCAGGAGATCACACATTTCTATGAATTTGGTTGCACGACGCAAATTTCTGCACAGAGAAGGAGATGCACCAGTTCCGGCAACGGTGTTGGATATCCAGCGTATCTCTGGTAGATTGAAATCGCCGACCGCCACCACCCTACCGACGGAGACGGAGCAGCCTACCGTCAGGTGGCTGCACTGCCGACAGAGCCGCAGCTATCGCGTCGATCGCGGTGTCATCGTCCGGCGGCCGGTAGCACACTGCAAGCGTAATCGACACGCTCCGAAGCCGGACCAGCAGCATCTCGGTGCCGGCGGGGTCCGGCAGACGGAGCGGCCGCAGCGAGTCACGGACTGCACAGGCCACCCGCCGCCCCGCAAGCCGCGGTCACGGCGGAACCAGGTGAGATAAACCAGGTGAGATCTGAGATAAAGTGTTTTTTTTTACTGATGGTGGTACTGGTAGTCGAACAATTCTCCAACTAGCGGGCTGAAATGTTAGCTTCACAACAATTCCTTCAGTTACTTCTCCGGCAGTCGTTCCAATTCACAATAGATGCCTCCCTTCTCGGTGCAGGCTTGTCTTCAACTGTGCGGTGAGCTGACGCGTCCACACCTTTAAACTGTTTGAGATCCACTTTTATACTAAATTCACACTAATGTTTTGCCTAGAAGTTCTTGTAATCTATTGTTAGATTTTTCTATCAACAACCAGGCGTTATACAGAAACTCGTTTTTTTCTCGGGTCAGATATTTATTAGACTTCTATTTCCTTTTACGTTTTTTTTTTCTGCGATTCTATATTTTGCGCTTCGATAATTTTCTTCGGAATATCTGAGATAAAGTGTTTTTTTTACTGATGGTGGTACTGGTAGTCGAACAATTCTCCAACTACCGGGCTGAAATGTTAGCTTCACAACAATTCCTTCAGTTACTTCTCCGGCAGTCGTTCCAATTCACAACAGATGCCTCCCTTCTCGGTGCAGGCTTGTCTTCAACTGTGCGGTGCGCTGACGCGTCCACACCTTTTACTATTTGAGATCCACTTTTATACTAAATTCACACTAATGTTTTGCCTAGGAGTTCTTGTAATCCTTTGTTAGATTTTTCTATCAACAACCAGGCGTTATATAGAAACTCGTTTTTCTGGGGTCAGATATTTATTGGACTTCTATTTCCTTTTACGTTTTTTCTGCGATTCTATATTTTGCGCTACGATAATTTTCTTCGGAATATCTGAGATAAAGTGTTTTTACTGATAGTGGTACTGGTAGTCGAACAATTCTCCAACTACCGAGCTAAAATGTTAGCTTCACAACAATTCCTTCAGTTACTTCTCCGGCAGTCGTTCCAATTCACAACAGATGCCTCCCTTCTCGGTGCAGGCTTGTCTTCAACTGTGCGGTGAGCTGACGCGTCCACACCAGTTTAAACTGTTTGAGATCCACTTTTATACTAAATTCACACTAATGTTTTGCCTAGAAGTTCTTGTAATCTATTGTTAGATTTTTCTATCAACAATCAGGCGTTAATATAGCTCTTTTTTCTCGGGTCAGATATTTATTAGACTTCTATTTCCATTTACGTTTTTTTCTGCGATTCTATATTTTGCGCTTCGATAATTTTCTTCGGAATATCTGAGATAAAGTGTTTTTTACTGATGGTGGTACTGGTAGTCGAACAATTCTCCAACTACCAGGCTGAAATGTTAGCTTCACAACAATTCCTTCAGTTACTTCTCCGGCAGTTGTTCCAATTCACAACAAATGCCTCCCTTCTCGGTGAAGGCTTGTCTTCAACTGTGCGGTGCGCTGACGCGTCCACACCTTTAAACTGTTTGAGATCCACTTTTATACTAAATTCACACTAATGTTTTGCCTAGAAGTTTTTGTAATCTATCGTTAGATTTTTCTATCAACAACCAGGCGTTATTCACTATAATTGGTATTCAATTTTTCATTCCTAATTTTCTCTCGAGCCATATTTCTTTCAGTCACATTTCGTTACTCTGTGTTTTTCCGCAAGCATTAGTGGTCAATCTTGTCCGTATCCTGATTCCTGAGTTGAAATGTTCACTTCACAAAGCTTCGGCAATCCACTTCTCCGGCAGTCTACTTAAGTTCTTTGACCTGTCCGGAGCGTTATAGCTGCTCCGTGGGCGTTGTAACTGCCGAACGTTTCTGAAGTCCACTGGCTTTGAACTCTGGTCTCATCGGTGATAGACGACGGTCTTGACCACTCCACTATCGTAGCAGGGCGACACGAGTAGCCATATCGGGATCAAATCAACGCTTGGCTTGCTGATGGGATTGCTGGCGGCGCCATCTGTGCAATCGTACGGCGACCACTTTTTTCTTAGCACCGTATACGGAATTCTCGCTTTCAGTCTCAAATCTGACACATTTTCCTGTTGGTTAGGAGTGTTGTAACGTGAGTTATTCATTCCGCGAGACATTGCGAATACGTTAACTGTGCTGGAGCGCCATCCGGCAACTGTCCTAACGCACACCCATCCTCCGCGCGGGCCGGCGGCCAACCAAGCCCGTATAAGAGCGGCTAACAGCTGCACTGCCGGGGGTTCTGTAGCATTCAGGCACTGCCGGGCAGCCCGCCACACGACTCGCCCTGGCGGTAGTGGACTTAACTAGTGGACTTAACTATATAAGTGCAGGCCGATCCGCCAGGTTGACGATACAACAAGGAGTCCGTCAAGAAAAACGACAAGTCCATAAAAATTGGTCCTCGGAACGTCTCTGAAGTTTTTGGATGAAGTGAAAATATCGACATTCCACTGTCTAGTGAAGAGTTGTGATGTGCTTCGGCCAAAAGGATTATGTCGAAGAGAAATAAAATCTGTTGGCGTGACAACACCGCTAAAACCAGCAATATAATTGAATTGGTTCGGCAACCGCGTTCAATGATATCCGCAACAATAGGATCTATTAATGAAATAATGTTGGCTTGGATCAGCCTATCTCTGGTGGCAGGTTATGAACAAGAAGTGCTTGGGTTTTGCCACCAGACGACAGCACTAGTGCCCAACATACGATTCTCTGAAATGGCCTTGTCAGACCGAAATAGCCTAACCCAACGAAACAAACAAATGACAGGTTTCAATGGCATGTAAGGGATGCACTAAGATGTTCAGCGAGCCCCGCCGGCAGTAGGTCGTAAAATCCCGTGACCGGACTTCAGCCCAGCTGCCGGCCTGCAGTAATGTCGCAGGAAAATTTGGTTAGCTCAGGCTAGATGACGTCATGTGAAACTGATGTGCGTCTAGGACCCATGAAGCCCGTCATCAAGCATGACACCGGTAAAGTTGTCAATTTATGGTCACGCGCTTTCCTGCCTGTCCAGCCCATCGACGCAGTTGTGGCTGAATGATGTCGATGAGGCAGTGAGACACTACACTAGAGGGCAGAGTGAGACACCCTGCAGTCGGTTTACTTTTTAATCGTCCACTGTGGGAATCCTTCATTGTCGGCTGTCAGTAACGCCAGTATGATATAGCGCTAAGTCGGGACCGCTGAAGAAGGACCCCGCCTCAGTCAGGAACTAGGAAGGCCGTCTCGGACGTGGCCCGCTCGTCCCCGGAGGCCAGTGTCTGCAGCGGCACGGTCTCGGCCGGCTCACCGGACCTCGGGGCGGCTCACCGGACCACGGGGCGGCTCAGTGGACCAATGGGGCAGCTCAGTGGACCAATGGGGCGGCTCAGTGGACCTCGGGGCGGCTCAGTGGACCTCGGGGCGGCTCAGTGGACCACGGGGCGGCTCAGTGGACTACGGGGCGGCTCAGTGGACCACGGGGCGGCTCAGTGGACTTCGGGGCGGCTCAGTGGACCTCGGGGCGGCTCAGCGGACCTCGGGGCGGCTCAGCGGACCTCAGCCGGCTCAGTGGACCATGGGGCGGCGGCTCAGCGGACCACGGGGGCGGCTCAGTGGACCCACCTGGAGATGACCGGCCTCGCTGCCGGCCGCACACAGGCCGCCGTCGACAGTGACGCTGCTGACGTCACAGCGGTGGCCGCGCAGGGTCGCCAGGCGCCGCACGCGCGCCGTGTCGAGCAGCCACACAGAGTGGGCGACACCCAGCGCCAGCACCGCGGCGCCGCCGGCAACTGCAGCCTCTCCGCCGGCCGACAGGTGGCAGCACGACACACCCGAGAAATCCTCGCCCAGAGTCACTGCGGGACTGCCCGGCTCTGCAATGTAGAAACGACCCCGTTTTGTGTCAGTTGATATCCCCTTACACGAACACCTTTAGTGTGACTTCGAATTATCGTTTTCTTTATCCTTGGCGTCGGGACCAACCCACCATCATACTTGGTCACACCTCCACACGTGCCGGGCTGACGGTCTACCCGCCCCGCCAATCCCGGTCCCGGCCCACCCTCCGTGGTGACCGATGGAGTACATGGGGCGTACCGGGGCCGCCTGCTCTACGGGGATTCTCTAGTCGCGACGGGATGGGCTCGACCAGAGCGGTGCATCAGTAGCTAGTCGTCTGAGCTCATTTCTCAGCCATGTTTTATCCCTTTGTTCTGAAATGGTTTACTGCATCAAAAAGATTCCTAAAATGATAGAATATATAGAAGCAAGTAGTACTCTAGCAGAGGTATCAGAGTCAGTGTAACAAAAATGTCACGGACTGGGCCGTCAGCGAGAGGAACCAGGGAATGAAGCACACACTGCTGTATCGTTGGCCAGGTAAATGGTGTGCCCTCCTGGTAACTGGGGTAGATGCTCTAAAAACAACACTAGGACACAGCGGAACCCACCTGCCAGGTCCCAGAGTAGAATGGTGCGTGAGCAGGTGACCAGCAGGTGTCCACAGCCGTCCTGTAGTGTCAGACACTCCACACGGGGCTGGACCAGCGGGATGCTCCGCTGAGCCTGCCGAAAAAAAACAGACGCGTTAAATCAGCCAAGCAGCTGAGGACAATCACATGCCACGGGACAAATTATCATATCACCAAAATCGTAAGCGTTCCATCACTGCCAGACAATGTAGACACGTATGTACTTAGTAGGTATTGAAAGCCCAAAAATCAATTGACGTTAAAAAGGCAACAAAACAAATGTTACTGTTGGGAACTCCACAAGCCGCAAACTAAGCAATTCTTTGCTTTGTTGTAAACATACACGACACGAGCCCATCCTTAACCTTCGCCCTGGTGGGGGGGGGCCATTTTGGCCCCCCCCCTGTGGTTTTTCAGCGATAACTCAGAAACCACTTGAGTTAGCGCCCTGAAACTTTGTATAGCTGTTTATTCAACATTTTTACATCATGTCCTTTTTTGGGGGGTTCGGGTCAGGTTAGGTCAGGTCACAAGGTCACCAAAACTGACACCACCTCTAAAAAAGTTCAAAGCTCTCTCAAAGGCACAGCTTTTATCCGATCGATGTAAAATTTACAGTACTTGAAGATGTCACCCAGCTCTACAAAATGGCTATCTCGGATTTTTTATAAATGTGACCTAAGGTCAGGTCAGGTCATCGCTGCTCCCCATTATAAGTCAATGGGAGAATCGAAAAGTAGTTGTTTTTCAGCTAAATCGGGCGTGATTGTTCCTATATTTCGTTATTGAAGTGTCTTGGGTCAGCAAATCACAGCCCATGTGAAACCATTTGCTTGTGACCTCGCTGAGGTCACGCTAGGTCATCTCCCTGGTCACCAGAGGTCACCAGCGGTTTTTCTGCACTTTCTTGTTATTGAATAGAGATAGAGACTCCGTTCGACGTTTATCGTGTTTGTCTCGTCAATGCGGATCGAATGATATGCAGCATGACCTATTTCGGTAAGGTCATGACCTTGACCTGAGGTCAAATTTTCAAAATGACCTTTCGAGGTCAAACTATATATCATTCGACGCGTCTCGACGAGCCAAGCACGATGGTGCATGAATCGTTTCTCTATTTTCTCGTGAATGCATGCTATAGTTAAAAACATTTTCAACGAAATTTGCCAAGTTGACCTTGCATGACCTCTGTAGGCCAAACCGTTGAGCTGAGGTCAAATCTGACGAACCTTGGCGAAAGAGCTTGAAAAGAGCTATCGATTGCTTTTTTCCGCGGCTCTCTAGCTCTTCTAGTTTCCGAGCTACAGCGGAATATGTCCGGCAACACCGAAAACACTGAAATTTGACCTATGATGACCTCTAGCGACCTCAATATTAACCTTAGCGAAAAAATGACCGAAATACTTTCGAACGTACTTGTTATGGGCTTTCGTTTGCTTTTTTCCGCGTCTTCCTAGCCCTCTTCGTTTTCGAGTTAGACGGGGGGGGGTCATTTTGGCCCCCCCCCCCCCACCAGGGCGAAGGTGGCTCAGACCCACACCAGGGCGCGGGTTAATCGACTCACGTGCGCTGTGACCGCTCCGTTTTCCTCCTCCAGCCTCCAGACGAGTAGCGTGGCCGCCGCGGCCGCCTTGGCCACCAGGTAGCGTCCGTTGGTGTCCACGTGGCGCGCACGGGAAGCCGGTAGGCCAGGCAGGTCCAGCGCCCGCTCGGTGAACTGCACGCGGTCGGTCAGCGGGGAGTGCTGCGTCCACTGGGCCGAGACCCCCGCCGTGCCGGCCCCGACCGAGGGACACTCGGCCGCCTCTGCCGAGAGCGCGCCGCCCTCTGCCGGGAAGGCAGACGGAGGGAGCGGACGGTCGACGGATTCAGGTCCCTCGGCAGGAGACTCTTCTGAGTAGTTGTCCGCCGGCACCGCCGAGCCATCCGTCGCCCCCTGCAGTTCAACACCCCACCTTCCCACACACTTAGGCGGTGACAACAAACAGTTCCTATCGTTCCCCTCCGCACACATGTATCCATCGCCCTCGGGAGGCGAGCACTCTGGGTTAGTCGTCGAGCTCCGCACCTCCGCTGGATCGAGCGGACCTACCGCCAGCGTCGCAGCCGATACAGACGAGGGCATCAGATTCGTGCGAGACCCGATCGCTCCGAGGCTTTGGATCGTCTCTGTCCTGGCCAATGCACGAGAAACGCTGGCAGACCGGGTCGGGCCCGGCCGAACGTCACTAGTACTACGCCCAGATAATCTACCCACCATGGTGTGCAGACGATGACTTGGTACAGCTCAGCTTGTGAGCATTAGAAATGATTGAGAAATTGTCAACTTCAAACGACAGCAGCTTGGTAGTAACGGAGCTGACCAGTTCATACTGATTACGCATCAATAGTCAATGACTTAATACCATTCACAGTTCATTCACAGTTGCGATCATTTCACGATAGTCAATCTAGTCACACACCACCACGGACCATCCCTGGTTTCCTCTCAGTCAGTCTCTCTCGCACCCCGCCGGGGCGGCTCAGCCGCTCTGTTCCCGCGCCGCTCCTGCAGTCAGCCGGCCGTCTCCGGGCTCAGGATGCGCTGCACATCCCGGTAGACGGGCTCCAGCTGATCGCGGCGCGGCCAAGTGTGCCTGAACAGCGGCACCAGGCCGTCCGGGTGGCGGCGCACCAGTGCCAAGTACGTCACCACCCGGTGCATGGTGAGCGCCTCGGCAATCACCACGTCTCGGAGCCGGCCGCGCGCCAGGAACAGCGAGCTGCGCCGGCCGCTGGCGAAGACGGTGGTCAGCTGGACGCCCAGTGACGACTCAACCAGCAGAGTCTCCCGCTTCACCTGTCGCCGTGGGGAGAGCGTGTCAGTCGAGATGGCGCATGGTGTGGGGTAAGGGAGATTCAGGACGCAACAAAAATAGGGTGTTAGCAATAGCAATTATTGTCGGAATTTAAGCATGATTGTTGAATGTAGTTTGGTAGACGAGCATTAGGTGCGAAACTAAATAAAAATATAAGCGAACGAGTGTGCCTGGCACAATAAAGGCAGAAAACGGTGATTTAAAAGGCCAAGTGTAGAAAAAAACGGCAAGGCTCGGGTTGATACGCATTTCAAGCACATTATGAAAGCATATCTAAAACGAGCACATTACGCATTTGTGTTGTTTGTGTTCATCGCTGACAGCTGATGTGCACGACAAATTAACAAAACTAGAACCGAGAACGTGCAATGCTTTATAACGCACCTCGAAGTGTTCCCGAACACAAAGCGTAGAAAATGTGCGATTTATCTACCAACAACACATCTATATTGACGTGCTGCTTATCTTATCGACGCAAATTTCACTTTGGGCCTACATGTAGACAATGGTCATTGTCGCGTATCTTAAATACCGATTTACACGACAGAGCACTGTTAAATGTGCCATCCCCACCAGTCCCATCCTGTGCCACTGTGATTCCCTCTACCTCCTGCCCACACGTCTCTACATCCATCCACCTCCCCACCCTCACCTTGAAGTGCAGCTTGGCCAGCAGAGCCAGCGTCAGCGCGGCCAGCAGGGCGGCCAGCAGCCGGTCGTCCTGCAGGTGCAGTCCCAGCCAGAAGAGCAGCGCCGCGATGGCCGCCGTCAGGTTGAGCCACAGAGATATGCTGAACTCGGCACCGCGCACCTCGTACTCGGCCAGTCGGCCGGGCACCAGACGGATCACACGCACCTCGCCGCCGCGCGCCGGCCGCCGCCGCTCCCCCTGCGGGCGGGGGCGGTGCGCGAGACTGCCACAATACAGTCTGAATGGACACGGCGAGACTGTCACAGATAGCCGCGACGGACACGGTAAGACCGGCACACATGAGAACGGATAAAGTAAAGGGTGTCATCCTGGATCTGGACATCCTGGACGTTCATGTCATGAAGCCTTTGAATGAGCCAGAGGCCCAGACTGAGGGACCGAATCAAATGCTTGCTGGATGTCAAGGTAGGCAATATCCACAGGGTCGTCTTCCTCCACCTACTGGGTCCACCAGTCCTCAAGTGCACTCAACAGCTGCGCAGCACAGGATCATCTGGATCAGAGACCATGCTGGTAGTTGGTTAGTTGGCCAGTGTCTGTTAGGTGCTTCAACCGTTTGTCATGCCCGATGGACTCAAGAACTTTTGATGTCACCTATGCCAAGATGACAGCATGGTAGTTGCATGGACTGGTGCATGGCCCAGGACGGTAGTGGTGGAACACCTTCAATTAAGGCCTAAGGGGGCACTGTTAACTTTTGGTCCCATTCTTGCCATGCAACGCCCATAGGGCTAATGTTAAAATGCCAAAACCAAAGGGGGGCATGGTGCCCTGGTGCCCTCCTTGTTCCGCCGCCTATGGTCCATGACCGACCTGACCCTTCTTCTACGCGATAGGAACCCTACCAGCTTCCAGGGGATTTGATATTTCATTTGATATTTCAATTCCAGTCTGGAATCAGAATGTGGCCGTGACACTTTATCTGATACCTAGGTTGCTATGTATTATCTTTCCGAATATAGTGCAAATGCTTACCTTTGAGTATTTGCCAGGCTCATGTCTGTTGAGCCTATTAAAAACAATGTTGAAAATGCCAACCAGGAAAACAGACAATAAAAGAATATCCCATATCATCTCACACCAAAAATTCGGCTATTGACAAGCATTCGTGTACGAGTTGAAATGTTTGTTTACATGTTTGCGCCAAAAATGCAACGCCGCAGCCATTTTTGTCTAAACGATAATTACAAACTTGCTGTTTATTTGACGTCATCAATTCAAACGAATCAGATGAAGAACTTTCTGTTAATTAATAAAAGTTTTCATTTTTAACATTTTCATTGCTTCTGTTAGCTTCCTTTTTATTGTATCACGCATATTCTATGCAAAATATGCCTGAAATATTTGCTTCGTTTAAAGTTCAGGTGCTATCAGTGTTATCAGTTTCACCTACTGCGCTATACGTCATTCAACATCCAAACTCGTGTTTTTACGATTGATATGCATGATCCTTGATGTTTACACGAACCGCGGGGCTCGCGCCGTGACAGAGTTCCGCCCCCAGCGCCCCCATTTCTCTCTGGCACTTCGGGGACTTCTTGATTTGTCGTGTGTCGGGATTGACCCTACTCCAAAATGTGTCATAGGACTTGACGATTTTAATGAAGTTTGCTGCAAGACTGTCGTGATTTCACCTCTTTCCGATTGGTGCCTCTAAGTGTGAAACTCTAAGTGAGTTGGCTCAGGATGGGTTGTTAAAATTTCACATTTCTTCTTATCACCGTGCTTATTACTACAAACATTTAGAATAGGCATTTTGCTTTGATGACGAATTTTTCTGATGTAGGTTCATAATGATGAATGAATGAAAATTGTTGAACATTTGTATAACATCTATAGGAATGGGTACCTATAGGTTTTTAAGTGTTTGTCAGTAGACTTGACACTCAACATGACAGCTAACTTTTTGTTCATTTTCATCCACAGACAGCTGCACAATGGACATCGAGTCTGTGTACTCTGCAGAGTCAGTCTACTCGTCGGAGGCCTCCGATAGCGAGCTCCTCAGCATGCTGACCAGTGTCACCCTCAATGGAATGGACCTGGATGGACATGAGCTGCACCAACGTCTTGCCGAGCAGCCACCATCGCAGAGGGCTGAGCTGGAGGCAGTGCACGCAACAAACAACAGACTGACCCGGCTTCCCACCCTGCTGCCTGCCTTCCCGGCACTACGGATGCTCAACCTCAGCCACAATCGGCTCACTGAGGTGTCTGATGCCATCCTAGCCCTGCCAGCACTCACAAACCTGGTTCTCAAGCACAATGATCTGGGTAATGCCTCCCTGCCAAAGGACTTTGGACTGCTGCGGCACTTACGAGAGCTGAACATCAGTGGAAACAAGTAAGTTCTTGATGGGTGTGCAAAAATTGGCAAATATCGAGGATCTTATTTCAAACAGTAGAGGAAGGGTATCATCAGGACCAGGGATGCGGAGCCGTGGAAATTTCTGACGGCTCCGGCTCCGGAGAAAAAATCGGCTCCGGCTCCGGGTGAAATGTCATGGCGGCTCCGGCTCCGGCTCCGGCTCCGAGTAAAATGATCCGGCTCCGGTGGCTCCGGCTCCGGCTTCTACTCAGTACATCCCCTATGCGATCAATTAAATACGGGTGGAAGAAAAAAGGCGATGGGATTGGTACACGTTGCTTCTGTATTTGTATAACAAGGCTATTTTGAATACCAGATTGTTTTACGCCTTGTACTGTCAAACCGAACTAGGTAAATAATTGTTTCCTCTTAACCCGCGAGTTGCTGGGGGGGGGGGGGCGTTAAACGCCCCCACTTTTTTCGCCGAGCCATAGCATAAAAACGGCGCGCCGCAGGCGCGCCAAATTTTGGGTACCTGTAGGGAATTGATTGAAGTTGATTGTGACAAAGTTTCAAAAAAATCGTTCCGAAATTTTTTGAGATATCGAGGATTTAGTGACGTCATGATTTCTGAGTTTTCGACCAAAAACGGCATATGTTCAAAAAATCATATAAAATCACAGAATAGACATACAGACATGCCGTAAACGCCATTGGACTGCCAATACCATGAACAATCAAATGGCTATCTTCGATCATTGATTATCGTTCCGCATTTTCCAAAATCTTGAACTAAATCTTGGCAATTTTTCGTGACTACTTCACGACCATGATACATGCATTTCTTAAATTGAACTTTTTTAGCCAAACACGTACACATATGATAAAATGAATGTCACCATCGTGTTCTACGCCCCAAAGTACCCATAAAACATGTGTCACAGGCTGCGAATATCAGTTTTGATTTTCGGGGATATGTGCCTGCCCGGTTGACCTGACGGCTGACCTTGACCCTGACCTATGCTTGGCTGACCCCTACATGGAGCTGACACTCTTGTAGGCCTTATTTGATGGATTGTGCACCGTTTTGACAGAGTTTATGACGAGAGGCGCCCATTGCAAAGTCCTGAAGTCCATGCTACTGAAAGCCCGATTTCAGGTGTTTGACCTGACCTTGACCCGACCTGTGACCTCAAAATTCAACTTTAAAGTACTCATCTGAAGCGTCTCGTCGCGTTCTTTCGTTTGCTGCCTCGTGCGTTTCGCTGCGCCTATTGGTTCTCGAGTTATCGGCTGTTGGCGTTTAACGCCCCCCCCCCCCCCCCCCAGCAAACGGTGGGTGGCGAAATACCCCAGCAACTGCCGGGTTAAGAAAAGGAGCCGGAGTCGCCCCCTTTTTTGACGGCTCCGGCTCCGGCTCCGGCTCCGGGCTATATTGTTTCACGGCTCCGGCTCCGGCTCCGGGTAAAATATGCCGGCTCCGGCGGCTCCGGCTCCGGCTCCGGCTCCGGCTCCGCATCCCTGATCAGGACTTATTATGGTGATTGGGACACTATTACCATCATTTGATAGGACATGTAGTCTGAAGAACGGTGTGGATGTCGCTAAACTCGGTCGTGGCTGTACCCGCCCGCGGCTTGTGTTATATAACAGGAGGATGTGACGGTAACCCGACGATGAGCGCGTGCCTGCAAGACAGAGCTTGTTGCGTAACACCACATATACATCGGCGTAAAATATTGCATCTCGTAAATTCATACCGAGGTAGGAAGGTAGGTTGGTACCTACCAGAAGTACAAGATTTCTGATGAAGATATATGACACACAATGCTGCTCAATTTTATGATATAACTCAATTTTTGCAGTGAAGAGGGTATATGTAACACAATTCTTCTTAATTTTACAATATTTCTCAATTTTTGGAGTGAAAGTCAAGTGGGAGTCGTAATCGGAGTCGGGTAGTCGATCAGGGTCGGAGTCAAAGTTAAAGCCGGAGTTCGAATCGGAGGCACCGGAAACCTTATCTACTCCGCAACCCTGTTAGAATAAAATTCGTTTTATGTTATGCCGATATGAACCCTTTTGTTAAAAACGAGATCAGTGAAGCCGTACCAGTGTAGAGCGCCTGATGACTTATTGTGTTTTATGGCGTTCCCTCGTTGAGTGAATGGAGGGGGAGAGTTAGCGAGGATCGCTTAGAGAGATGGCTGTTAGTTACCAGCAGCTTTTCCTCCCCGTGAACGCCGTGTCGGATGATGCAACGTAGCTGTCCTTTTGAATACCGATGAACAGGCTGGGCAGTTTATCCGGGAATTAAAACCATACACCGCAACGAACAGTCAGTGCTTATTTCATTAATGTACTTCTGCAGCCAGCAGTTATATCCCAAATTTATGTTATATAGGTACTACAGCTAGACACTCCATAGTCCGCTGTCTGCTATACGGTGGACGATAACAATAATTTATGACCGTTTTCGATGTTGTTTTCTGTTTCAGTTTCACTCAAGTTCCGCCGCAGGTGTTGGAGCTGGTCAACCTGTCCGACCTGTACATGGCCTCTAACCAGCTCGAGTGTGTCCCTGAGAACATCCATCGACTGCAGAGGTAAGTGTAGGATACAGACGGGAGTGTGGGCCCGAACGGTGTACAGGGTTGCGGTGGCGCCTGACACTGCGCTGAGTACGAACAATGGCGGCAGCTGCAGTTCGGGATGCTCAGCAAATGCACTGCATGCAGTGAACATGGATTGTGAGATGTTCATGACGATCTCGATCGCTGTCACGGTGATAACGGGCGCTATGCTTCCGTGAGTGAGAATTACGGCAACTAACGGCAAGGTTGTAAGGTAATAACGTGATAATGCGTTAGTACGTTTTGTTATTGCTCCACATTTTAATAGTGTGTTTTGTTGTGTCTCGCACGCACAGTGTAAGGCCGGTGGCCTTGAACCTGGCTGCTGTCAATGACCTCTGCGCGCAGCAGATGTGGGGTGGGGGGGGGGGGGGGGCGGGGCGGTTTGTCACCTGTTTTTAGCAAGGCTCGGACCAAGTTCACGTGTGTTCTGTGTTTTGTCGTGCTACAGGCTCATTCTCCCTCAAATTGAGATCAATAAACTTCTTGTCAAGACGCAAACTAGTTATGTTATGTATGCGAATGTGTGATTGTGATCTCGCTGTTTGCTTTACAATTTCAACTTTTTGCAATGTGTCCACCTCTCTATCATCAGTGTCACCACATGTTGCGTGTGTCGATTTTGCTGCACCGGCAACTTTGTTAATGCCTTGTGTTTGACCTGTCTTTCAGGTTACGCGTTCTTCAGCTTGGTGGTAACAACCTGACCTCAGTTCCCGCGACACTGGGGAACCTCACCATACTACAGGTCAGTTCACACTGCTTCGCATTAGTTTTCCGTCCCGGCCACATCGCCTGCCGACCGACTAGGCACGGAGCTGCACGGTTCGACGGCATGAGCTCGCAGTCCCGTTTGTTTATACTTGCCGCGATGTATTTACCAATCATCTGATAAATGTTAATTTGCTGACGTCTATGTACTTCCTAGTATGCCTCCCTCTCGCGATCACCATAATTTTGCCCCAGTTATTACTTTTGCTTTGGACAGCTACACTCATTTCTCATTACCTCCGCTGCAAAGCTCCTATAACTAGTCTAGCTCGACGTAGCATGTCTGCGGGATCAGAGCTGGCTCTGAGAGTGAACAGGAGGATCTGTAACAGAACGCATCACCCGACCACGGACTTTTCGAACCGCATATAAACAAATACTCGGGAACGTGCCGCTCTGCCCAGCACGAGGTGTAGAAGGATGAAGTAAGTACACGTCGAGCAGCTAGCCTTGGGGCGAGCTACGAAGGGTGTTGTTGTTTTCTTTTTGAAGACTGGATATTTGGGTAAAGGTCGGAGGACACCGCGAGGACTCTTTGCTAATATAGGCTACGGAGTGAGGCGTGGTTTCAAACTAGCAGAACCGGCTGGGCATACATGAGGTGCATTGAGGACTGCAGAGATCGAAGTGCGGCGCAACTGGGTACGAAATTCATTGGGCGCAAACGCTTCGACGTAAAAAGGTATGTCGTTCGTCTTGGTGAGTGAATTTACACCGCTCTGCGTTGCTATGTCGTGCACAGTCCACCGCTCCATCAGAGGCCGGTTCCCACCGCTCTGTGTGTGGGAGCGCCTCTGTCCGGCCGGCCGAGCCCGGCCGGCCGGGTGCGGCGCGACAGACGCTGCTCCCCACCTTTGGACCCGGCTGGCCCCCGCGCCGGACGGCAGCACACGAGCTGAGCTGGCCAGTCGGAGATAACTGCACGTCAGTCAGGGCCGGGGTACCGAGCTCACCCTAAGCTATGACGGACGCAAATGTAATGGCAGGCAAGCATTCCAACCATCGTGTTTACGTCTTGGGTGCATCAGGCCCATGCTAACGTGACGTAGTTACGAGCGAGCGAGCGCAGCGAGCGAAGTGAGTCTTTTCAATATAACGGAAAAATCTCAGTATGAGCGGCCCGGCCCGGCCCGGCCCGGCCTGTAACGCTTTTGAGAGGCTTATATCTCAGCAACCGCTGGACCGATTGGCCTGCGGTCTTTTTTGTTGGGTAGCCCCATCCCTTCTACCCCGTAATTGACTATTTTTGATACATCTCAGTGACCATCGTGGCACGTGCCACGTGAAAAGTCAGGGGTGTTCAAAGTGTTTTGCAAAAGTAGTGATTTTGAGAGGCTCATATCTCAGCAGCCGCTTGGGCGATTGACTTGCGGTAATTTTTGTAGGGTAGCAGCATCTCTTCTACCCAAAATAGGATAGTCTCGATGCATGTGGGTCACCCCCAGTGCACGTGCAAAATACAACAATAAGGGGTGCAAAATTTGTTCCCATTTCAGTAACTCGGTAATTACTGGGGCGATTTCGCTGAAACTTGGCATACAGGTAGGTACCCACCAGGCAATGCATTCCCATGTGTTGCGGTTAGGGTGCTGCTGCACGTGCGCACGTGCAGGGGGCGTTTCCAGATCTCGAGAACGGCTGGGCCGATTGCGCTCAAATTTGGTACACGGCTGGGGACCAGTTAGTAGGGTGCCGTGCAAAAGTCATTTTGGACCCCGTTTGCACGTGCGCACGTGCAGAATACCGCTTCCAGATCTCAGGAACGGCTGGGCCGATTGCGTTCAAATTTGGCACACCGCTAGCAACCGGTTAGAAGGGTGCTTTGCGCAAGCCCGTTGGAAGCACCCTCTCGCCCTTCCGCACGTGCAGGGCTCACTATCTCGCTCGCTCGTTCTTCGCCCAAAAGGCGTTTTACTGGTATTATCGGATTTGGTCGATGTCCTATGTCATTGTTTAGATGGCAATATGTCGTTTTCCTAAATGCGTTTGGCTAGTGGTTATGCCTTAAAGTAGGCTCAGCGGTCTGGTGAGATTAATTCAAACACAGTCTTTGCCAAGTCATGCCACGACGGCAGATCCGTCCCGTGCAGCCCGGTCTTCCAGTTCCACTTGGACTCATTTGACACTGCACTCATACCCTGATGTCATATGATTCTGGCATGACATTTGGCAGAAGATCCCTATCTTTATTTCAGAAATGGTTGTCTACGAGGATGAGAGTGTATTCCTCAATGTGCAGGTTGTTTGTGAAGCTGCCGATAAATCAGCTACATTTTAGAAGGCTAATCTACTCATGTTAACTTTTCTGCATTGGTGTCGGGCGTCAAGCACCAATCGTATCGGGCTTTCAAACTCCGGACCAGATTACCATGACCAACATCCGTTTTTGTGGGGACACCTGTTGGGGAGCTGGCACCTGCCCGCGGCACGTGTCCAAACAATCCCGCCCTGCGGTGTGTAGGCGGCGTCCGTCCGTGAGAGCGCCGGGCCCGCCCGGCCCCCGGGACTCGGGTCTGTGCCGTCTGGCACCGAGCCGCCCAGCCAGACGCGCCCCCGACCGTCACGTGACCGGCGGACGGCCGTCACGTGGGGGTCACGTGGCTGCCACGCCGCGAGCAGCTTGCACGGCGTGGGCTGTGGCTGAGGGGTCCACCTGGAGACTGGTGGGCTCTGGGAACAAACAGATCCGTCGAATACCTTAACCTATAGCTGAGTTCACTGGGAACGGCTCCCCGATAGAAATGGGGTGCGACTGGGCACCGACCTTTTGTGAACGCTGATCGCTTGCTTTTGCCTGTGATCTATCAGTGCGTAGTTACTTGTCTTCAGTGGTCTGTATCGTTTTTGTTTTGTCGACTTGCCTCCATTTCTCCGTTTTCCCATTCTGACTTCGATGGCGGTCGGTAGCAGCAGCCGCTAGGCAGGCCGCTGTTTCCACGCTGTTGATAGGCTGCGTCCGGAGGATGAACCGCTCACAGCGGTCATTGGTCGACATTGCTCCCTGCTGCTGTCAGTCCTATCAGCTACGTTTGGCCACAGTTCAGATCCAACCACTGCGCAGTGCCCAGCGCGTCGGAAGCATCACTACCGACCCTGAACCCTCATCATCGGCCATCCATATATCTTCCCGCGAGTAACTTTCCATGACGGGCCTATCTGGTCAGTTGGGGCACTGGGCGTGTCTGCTGACTGTGACTCGACAAAACGTGTGTTGATACTACCGTGGCAGTCTGTTGTGACTGACATACACTCCAGCGAGCCATTGTTTTTCCTTGCCGATGTGACCCTTCTAGACAGACTCAGACAGACACACAGACAGACAGACAGACAGGCAGCGCAGCGCCCTCAGTGGCCGGTTCCCTACGTTTATGTAACAAGCGGCACATCCCAGGGTCGATGGAATAGTAGCAGCCGACAGTGATGGTTTGTTTAAGATTTAAGAGCCTCGTAAAACGTGCTCTGGGGACACGTGTGCGCAGGGGTGGGCGCGGTACGGTCACTGAGTACGCACGGTACGGCCAAACCCGCTTACGCAAAGACGGTCGAACCCACTTACGCACGGCTACACGGGGGCTAACTGTTCCGCTGGTTTGTAGACGTGGGCTTCCGTGAAAACTCTCCTTTCATGGGATTTTCAGTTTTCTAGCAGCAACTGTCACCTCTTGAAGCAATTGGTTACTTTCTGTAATCAATTGCTATTTGCTTTTCTATAATAACGCTCGTCGTAGACTTTTGTTTTGCGTGATCTTCGATGTCATCAGCTCAGCTGTTCTGTTTGGCACCACCCTCATTTCGTTCAGTTTTTGTTACCATAACCCTCTTGTGTTTTCTCCTTCGTTGTGAAAAGAAGTTGGGTACCTAGTTAGCTCGTCGATGTCAAGGAACCAAACGGTGTGGGTAGGGGCAATTCTTGGTGTTCGAACTTGCCTGTCGTTTTCACATTATACACAGGTGAAACAGACACCTGTCTGGTCATAGGTGTGCAGAGCTCATGTGGCTTCATGTTGGCTTCTTGTGCGATTTTTAGATTGAAATCGGTGTCGCCTGTCTTGGCATAGAAACAATCGAGCGGAGGTCAAATGGGTGAACGGTAGTTAGCTGTGAAATCGTCACCAATTTTTTCTTGATCATAGTTACTTTACTTTGTTTTTTGTAATACCAGCTCACCGCCGCCTCCATACTGACTAGCCTGATCAACTGAGAGCATCAAACCCAGTTTCATGTCGCCGCGGCCGTCGTGCCGGAGCTCCTGCTCATTACCTCGTCTAGCGTCACCTGTGATCAGTTCCCGTACCTGAAGTTCTCCATATGTCCACCAGGTGCTGGTGCTATGCGACAACCGTCTGACTGAGCTGCCCGAGTCCATCTGCAGCCTGCCGCGGCTGCGCACCCTGCTGCTGCATGCTAACCAGCTGTCCACCCTGCCCGGCTCCATCGTCCGGCTGCGCGCCCTCAAACAGGTGCGTGGCCCCTCGACCGGCTGGAGAGAGCGGCCAGCGACTGGTGACGGAAATGGGGCAGATGATCTCTGAGTCGTCAAGGGATGAGTTGGTTACCGCTTACTGGTTATGACAATTCCCTGTGTGCGATTTGGGGCTTGTGAACCGCCTCTTACACTCGGCTGACGCTGATAAATTATTGACACAGTCGTCATGTCGCTAGGAAGTGCCACGCCTCTGACAAGACGCTGTATCGCCGGCCTCCTTCCGCTGTACCTCGCTATGATGAACACCATTTAAACCTCCCCCACTCCTTCCCACAGCTGAGCCTGCGAGACAACCCGCTGGTGCGCGACTTTGTGGGCACCATCGAGTACGAGCCGTCGTCTCTGTTGGAGCTGGCGGCGCGCTGTGTCAAACTGCACAACATCCCGTACGGACCGGGCGACCTGCCCGCGGCGCTCATAGAACACCTGGCCTCAGCCAAACACTGCGTCAACAAACGCTGCAAGGGTGAGCGGCCGGCAGACGGACTGATAGGGGGCGGGGCGGGATTCACTTTTTTGATTATTTTAACAGAATTAGAATGTTTGCAGCTTGCACTAGGGTGTATCGGCCATCAAAGCTATATCGGAAAAGGGTACCTACGTAAGCCGTTGTTGTCTGCCAGCTCGTTTCTTTGTGACATGAAGTTTTATGACAGTGCGAAGGTGTTGTCGTGCTTCCTTGTTCTTCAGCTCTTAAAAAAAATTGTTTCCTATAAAGTAATTCGTGTACTCTCAGTGCGTGCGGGTCTCGTCTGACGGTTTCGTCCGCCCCGTGTCTGACATGTCCCCGTCTCCCTCTCCTCCGACAGGCGTGTTCTTCGACACTCGCGTGGAGGACGTACAGTTTGTGGATTTCTGCGGCATGTACCACATCCCGCTGATGCGCTACCTGTGCTCGTCCAACTGCGAGCGGCTTCAGGTGACCGAGCGGGGGCAGCGCTCCGACGAGTCCGATTCGGATGACGAGGTCGGAGGCTGGCGGCAGCGCCGGCTCCGACGCGTCCTGCTCGGCTAGCTGCTCCTGCTCAGGTTGGCTAGCTACCAGAGCTCGGGTCGGCTAGCTGCTCCAGCTCTGCTAGGATCGGCCAGCTGCCCCGGTTTTAGTCGGCTACCCGTTCCGCCTCTGTTCGGCTAAGATCGGTGTGTGACCTACATGCCCCTCCCCTCCGGTCAGCGAAAAGGCCTGAGGGGCTGGAACGCGCCAGACACTGCAAGTTACGGACCGATCACTGCTCTAATATGGGAGGTGTGTGGAGTGTTACCAGATAACCCGTGTGACCGCCGGGCGCGTTGGTGTGTGCCGTGGTGTTACTGAAGTTTGGCGGTGAAGGTGGTAGTGGCTGCGGCCCGGGTCGGGCTGCCGCTGGCTGTTTGTGGTGCTGTTTTGGGCCGGTGGAGGTCGGGGGATGTGTGGTGCTACGTGAAACTGTGTTGTTAGGCCGTTTTAGCGGTGGTTTTGGCTGCTTTTGAGCTGCCCGCGACATGACACAAGTGGGCTCTATACGAGAGTTAACGCAAAGGGCTTCCCGCTCGATACAATCGCACGCCCAATCGCTATAAGTCACTCTCTGCTGCAGAAGTTTATCAGACCATGACAATTTTCTTTGTCGTGCTAAGTGTAAATGGCAATTACCATTGTCAAACTTGGTAAGAAAATGGTTGTTATTTTCCTGTATGCCTGGTGATATTCCGTGTTCAGATTTAGCCATCGTTCAACCTGTATTACGGATTACTGAATCTCGGCACGTGAATAACCTCGGCTGGGCGAATGTTACGCGTTTTTTTTCGCGAATGGCTGTTATCCAAGATCCGTATAGCTAAAAGAGAGCGGCGATCGGATCGAACTCGCATTAGTGCCTTGCGCGGTTATAGGAAGTACTCTGACTTAGGATACGTTTTAATCGTCGACACAGAGGATTTGGTGCTCGTCTAGTCTTCCATAGTGCAGGTCCTTCCTGCAGAGAGATATGTTGTTACTAGCGTTGTTAGGTGAAATGGTAGGGCATCAGGTATGCTCCTCTCCCCACGGTCAGGTGTGGATGGTGTGGTACCGTCGCGTGGTGGTTGATGGCTATGTGGAGGATTGAGCTCCCGTACTCGTGTGGTGTGGATGGTTATGTACCGTTGCTGGGTTGAGGTTAAGGTCACTTGAAGTTAAGGATGCAAATTCGGTTTTTAAAGCTGGATTATATTAGTTAGTGAAAAAGTTTGCCCCCGGCGTTAACTTAGATACGATCGCACGCACCCCGCAAAATATCCGACTGGGAGCGTTGTGCTGAAGTCTATTGCGGGATTTGACGCTGTTAAACTCTTTGTGCGTCGTCGGACTCCACTGACGCCCACGGCTCTGCCGCGGCGAGTTCTGTGGCAGGGGCTCCGTCTGTCGGGGACGCCTGCCTCACCCGGAATATACCAGCAGTGAAACACTGCGGGCGCCGGGCAGTGTACTACGATCGGCAAACTGTGGTAACCCATTGGTGGAATGAGACAAAATACATGGTCTCTTGAGGTTGTCTTTGAGGTCACTGTCTTTGGATGTTCGATTGGTCTCAAGATAAGGGCCCAGGCGACCTGTAGTTCGGATGCGGTCAATACACTTATCCTCGCCACAACTCTATGTAGTGGGGGGGGGGGGGGGGGTGGTGCACTCGGCCCGAGCTGTGGCGAGGCTTAGGGTATTCACCGCATCAAAACTACAGGTCGCCCAGGCCCTTATCTTCACCAATAGTACCGCCGGCGAATGCTGTCGAGACTGCCTCCTTCATTCATATCCCGCCCGGTCCCCCTCTCCCCCCTTACCCAGCGCCAGGTCTGGAGGGTGCCCCCGGGCCGGCGCGACGCTCTATTGCGGAGGACATTGAGAGCTCCTTGGCTGGGAACTCGAGGGCCGTTGTGACGTCACCCGGGATTGATTCTTCGCATCGACACCGGCTCGAGAGCCAGCGGGTAGCAACCGTTGAATGGCGTGATCCGGGATTGATTCCCCATGTCTGAGGAGATAGGGGAGGCAGCCGCGGTCAGACTTGGAAGCCAGATCAGTGTCAGGTGGTATTGAGGCACAGCACAGACGCGCCAAGGTCGAGCCGTGGTGGCTATACCCTGTAGTATGTAGGCTACCTGATTTGAGACTAGATCAGCTCCTCACCAAGGTGTATCTGGTGCAGTTCATCCGGAAATCTCCCCGAGTGACTGTGCAGTGTGCAGAGAGTTCATCCTGGTGGTTTGTTTACTGTCCGGCTGATTGACCCTGCCCAACCTACCGCTGTGAATACTGAGTATTGATAGACTGCCGAGCGCCGGGCCACGGTCCGATAGCCACGTAGCGCGCTGGTGGGGACCTACACATGATGGTGTGTACGCACAGAACTGTTGTACGACGGTCGCTAGCAATAGGAAGCTAATTTCTTACTAGAAGCGTTTCGGTATTCTTCAGGGCCACTGCACTATCACAAGTGGTGTCAGTTAAATGTCTGAAGTTTCCGCTCAAATTCGACGAATATCCGGCAACACACTCGATCCGCTCTTAAATTTATGGATCATCTATCTGTACAGGCTGCCGGCTCGCTCCATTTGCCGCAGACACACGCAGCTGGGGAGTTAAGATCAGAGGCGGTCCGTGGCCCGCGGCGGCGGCGGCCGCGGCCGTGCCGGGTGCGCGCACCGCTCCAGCCCTGGTCACACTGCGCGCAGCGCCCCGACCCGGCGCCAGCGCCGGCGGCCGGCCCGGCGCCCCGCTCTCAGCTCCCCGCTCAAACGCGGCTTCTCCGCTCGTCGTGTTAATGCTTAAGATACAACATAGGACGCCAGACTAAAAATGTGGATCACATAGCTAGTGGCGCCGGCCGTGCGCCGGGTCGGCGGGCCCGTGTCGACCCGTCGGCCTCTCTCACTCTCTCTCTCTCTCTCTCTCTCTCGGCTCAGGCAGCGGCACGCCAGCCAGTCGGCACCAGCCGCTGGGTCCACCGCGGCGTCACAGAGCGCGACAAACCAGACCGAAACAAGAGAGCCAGATACAGTGACGGCCAAATACAGAGCGATATACAGAAAGAAAGTCAAGAGAGAGACTCGAGAAGAGGGAGAGAGATAGAGGGGCGAGTGATTCGGCATTACAAAAACCCCTATCTAGAGGCGGTGAGCGGCGAGCCGCGCCTCACGGCTCCCTACGCAATGTAAAACGGGGCGTTGCGCTCACGCCGTATCAGCGAAAATAAAACACACACACGCGCGCGTGCGGGCGGGCAGGCGGGCGGGCTGCGAGGGTCGGCCCGGAGAGCGGGCCCATGGCACGCGGCAGGCGGGGAGACTCGGCCGCGCCCCGCAGGTACACACACAAATGGCAACTACCGATGGATACAGAGATATTGCAGTGTACGCTGGCAGAGAGGTCCTGTGCTCCAAGTGTTAGCCGCGCGCACGACGCACGGCACCCTGCTCGCGCGCGCACACAAACACAGACACATCTGGCTCCGCGCCGCGCCGGGCCGGCGGCGGCGGCGGCGGCGGCGGCGCGGCTCGGGCGGGGGCGGGGGCGGCGCTCAGCGGCGTCAGGTGGCGGCCGAGCCGGAGGCCCCGGACGAGGAGGCGGCGGCCGGCTCGGCCGGCGGCGCCGCGCCGTCCGGTTCGGCGGTGCTGCTGCCGGCGCGCGCGTGCGCCGGGATCAGAGTGGCCGCCAGAGAGGGACTCGCCTTCAGCTCTGCGGGAGCACAGGGCGGGGAGGCGGCGGTCAGATAGGGCGGCAGTCGTCACACGGACCGAACACAGGGGCACGGCCCGACACCGACTTAGACACCAGGTCAACGACACTGCACTGGACTATAGGGCAGGTGACAGCAAATTTAATGGCAATTTGTTAAACAGTTGTTCAAAAGCTAGGCGAAAATGGAACGAATTATCGATGGTTGACATTCAATACATATGTGTCAGAGTTTGCCCAAACATCAAATATCATAACCCACACAATGATCCTTACGACAAACTATCACTCAGTTATTCTAGACCCCGACCGATCTGCGGGTTGGCAGCCACGCACCTTCGTCGCTGAAGTTGAAGAGCGGCGGTAACTCTCGGCCGCTGGGCAGGCGCGCCTGCGGCAGGCGCAGCTCGTTGAAGAAGCCGTGGGCGCACGCCTCCAGCGGTGTGGTGCGCATTGTCGGCGTGTACTGCAGCAGTCGAGACACCAGATCGATGGCTTCCGGCGGCGTCCGTGCCCGGAACACCTGCAAGCAGCGGCCGACCGGTCAGTACAGCGCCGCCGTCTCAGAGGGTGGGTGGGGGACTGTGAGGGCGCCGGTCGCCGCCGGCTCAGAGCGCGGCGGGACGGAGAGGGCGCTGGTGTGGTAAGGTGCCGGTAGAGGGCGCCGGCGGCTGGGCCCAGAGGAGCGCCGCCCACATTACAGACCAGGGCCGGGCCGGGCCGACTGAAAACTGGACGGGACATGTAGCGAGCAGCAGACCGTCCACACAGCAGAGCAGCCGCTCACTCCGGTGACAGGGCCGGACGGCTCTCACAAATATCTAGGGCCGGGCGTCTCTCACACACAGTTCACGCTGCCGTCTGAAGCAGCTGGGACCGGCCTAGTCCCTATTCACGCTTTGCTAGGTCTAGCCCACGCTACAGATGCCACATACTGCTATAAATACTCACTCTGCACTAGTAACTAGGCCAGCTATCAGTTCAGCACAAGGCAGCCCAACGTGATTTAACTGATCTACCTAGGTCAGCTGCAATCGAAGGACGACGAATCACGAAAAGGATGTTTTTCAGACATATGTTGCAGGCTGACACATTGGTGCGCAAGTGAACATTGTCAGAGCTTTTTATTTACTAGTTAGGGACATAAAGCCACAAAAATAGAAATACCAGTTCAAGAATGAATGTTAACATGCCTCAACGTTGGAGCATGGTAGTCAGAACTCGGGCAATTTGAGCCATAATCGAGTTTGGTTTGACTTGCAAAAGATGTTAGGTTTAGCGTCGAGAACATTGTAAAAATGTAAGCATAACGGTACAAAGTTGCTGAAATGTTTCGCTTTCCCATACACATTACAAAAATATGCATAACAGGCAACAAAGGCTTGCAATCTCAGGATGAGTAGTTTAGAGATTGTTCCAAGAACCCATCAAATCAGGATGAGAAAAGCATGCAGCCTACAGAGATTGCCCATCAAATGTGAAATTCTTCATCTCCCGTGACTGCATGCCCCGCTCTATTCCTCTCAGCAAAACGAATAGTCTCTCAATGGTATTTGGGGCTCGCAAGTCAAACATACTTCGCCAGGCGAGCCAAATTGGTTCCATCCGCACCGGATTATTCGTTACCAGCGCGGCGTCCTTTTGCTTGAGAAGAGACTGTGTGCAGTCCTTTAGGAAACGCCACAGTTGGGTTAACCACGATTGGAGTCAACATACAACAGCTGACCAATGACAACAGACAGCAAAAGAGCCAGCCAGTCTTGGAGATAAATGCCGTGGCGGGCTTTCCACCCCGTGAAATACCCCCGGATGCCAGTCGCGTTTGTCGGCAGGTTAGAGAGGAGACGAGGGTTAGCACCGCTAGAAGCATCCACGGCCATTGTGCCCAGGTAGATAATAGCAGAACACGATCTTCTTGTTTAGCCGGGGCACTGGCAGCAATCTGCAGTAGTGATCCTTCTTGGCGTGAGGTCGGCTGGAAACGATGGCAAGCCACCGAAGAAACCAGGAAGGCCGCTTTGTTGAAGAATAAATATAATTTCCATTCAAGTTGCAAAATATATTATATTAAGCTTCAGTGTGCAAAAACGTTTGAACGTCCACATTCCGAAATGTTACACACACTCCTCCATTGGAAATCCTCTGAATACGTCCCGCATCTGACAACCGGTGCAGCCGGTTGCCATCGCTGCCCTTAGGCACGGCCCAGATCAGTCCCCTCCTAACCAGTCCCCTCCTAGCCTCATGCTACCGTCAAGCGCTCCGGCTTGCCCCTCCCCCCTCCTGTCCCCCCCCCCCCCCGGCACCCCCGGGTGGTGTCATGACCCGGTCGTCGACCGCGTCGACCGCGCCGACCGCCCGGTGGGTCGGTGCGGCATCGACCGCCGGTCGGTGGGTATGGCCCGCCCGCCCGGCCCGTGGGCCCACTCGCCCGGTGGGCCTGGGCCGCCCGCTCGACCGGCCTACTCAGTCGATAGGGGAGCGGGCCGGCCCGGGAGTGGCACCGCGGGCCCCACCGGCACCGTGGGCCCCACCAGCAGCCGTGAGCCCTACTAGCAGTCTAGGTGGGACGATTGACGAACACCGATACATCTACGGTTCCCGAGCGGGAAATGGGGCCGCCGACTATACGATACTAGCCTCGGAGCACAACGGATTCCAATTATCATTAGTCGCGAAAGGAAACGGTGTCTGGATTACAACCAAAACTAGCTCACTCCAGCCAGAGGTCAGAGGGTGACAAAGGAACCGTCAACCACAAACATGTAGGTAAGGAACATTGGTGTCCACCACGCCGAGGTCTCGTAATATTGTGCGGACGTGGGAAAGACAGAGTGGGTGATACAGAGACATGGACAGTATGGTAAACGACTTTGAGCTCATAGGTAACGAACAGACAACCTAGTTACAGCAGAAGAATGGAACGAGTTAGGGTGTAGATCAACGCAATTTTGATTCAACTCGAAACGAAATTACCGTAAAACTCAATGATTGAGTGACCTGGTCAGTTGCCGTTTAGGGACGCATCGACAACAGTGTCATTAAGTCAATGTCTGTCGATTCCACTGCTTCACGGAAAAGACGGCATTAACTTCGATTATCCTGCAGATCGTAGTGAATTAGTGTATTCGTGACCAGAATAATTTTATTGTTCGGAGTGAGTCAATCGCGCCTGGTTCTGGACCGACTGACTTCCTTGTTGCATCACACTTCTCTAAATGCCGTAAGTTTACCGTGAACCATAAATTATTCAATCATTTAATGATTTTGGATTCAAAAGAAATTTGTGCTGTGCGAGACATTGCGCCCACGACAATCCACGAATATAATTGACTGGTTAAATGAAATATCCACAACATGACAGCATGTCCCGACAAAAGGTGGCATTAGCATCGACGTAAAGCCTGGATCAGGATCTTCCTAAATAAAAACGAGCGAACAAGAGATTTCTAGCAAGAATAGAAAAATGGAAAAAGCAAGGAGACAGGAGCCTCACGGGACTACAGTTGACTTCTCAATTGGCCAGCTCGGTGGCAGGGGATCTACATCGCTTATGCGCTGCCACTTAGAACCAGATCGAAAGCGATCAGCTAGAGCTACTTCTACCAAATCTGCAGCAGAACGCACCCGCGACTGCAGATCACGGGGGCAATTTTCCCACCATCTCCCACCACAAATCCCTACAGTATCCTGTCCCAGCCCGACCCCAGTTCCGAGACCCCCCCCCCCCCTCCACCCAGCCGCGGGGCCCGGTACGACACAGTCAGGACAGAAGGGGTGCAGCTCTGAGCTCGGGTACAAGCACGCACACGCACACGCACATCGACAGACACACCCGCCGGCACACGTGGCTCGTCGCGCGGCGGGCGGCGGCGGCGGCCGGCACTTACGCGAATCTTAGCGTGCCCTTTGGCCGGCTTAGGACTTTCGAGGAGCAACTGTAAAGGCCCAGCCGTCAGCGAGGTACGACTTTCGCAAAAGGCACGCGCAGGGTGGGCCAGCAAAAGACTACCAATAGCGTCCACAAAGAACAATGCATACATTGGGGATTGATAAGTTAACACGTTACAGAGGCGCCTTGCTGAAAGCTGAGCCCGACCAGCAGTGCACGTTCAGGCCATGGTACATATGTGCAAACTACAATTGCATAACACCCTGCCCAAACCCACAACCAACCTCGGGCGAAATAAGTGGACAGAGACAGAGACTCACTCCGTCCACTTAGAACCATTTCGATCCCGGCCCGGATCCGTCCCACCTATCCTGCCGCCTTAGTCCTCCCCTCCCAACCCTTCCACCCCGTCATCTCACCTTCTGCCACGGGTGGGCGCGGATCTGCGGGAACTTGAACTCTGTGTAGTTGGGGTTCATCTCTCCCAGCTGCTCGCGGGTGGGCGTTCCCAGCACCTTGATGATCTCGACCAGCTGGTCGACGCCGCTGTCGCCGGGGAAGATGGGCTGGCCCAGCAGCAGCTCCGCCAGCACGCAGCCGGCGCTCCACACATCTGAAACGGAGGGAGGGGGTCAGCCAACGGCCCTCACGGCTGAAACGGGAGGGGGTAAGACGGATCCACACGTCTGAAATGGGGGAAGGGGTCAGTCGGCGGTCTTCACGTCTGGCGGGGGACGGTATAGGTCAGGTTAGCCAGCAGTCCCCACGGCTGATAAGAGAAGGTCGAATGGGACTATACACACGAACACAGAACGAGTCAGGTCTGGGCAGTTCAGTTGTGCTTATGCTAGGAGCAATGGTGAAAAAAAAATAACGCAGTTCACTCTCGGCGTACAAGTCTACACTCGCAAACTACACACATGGAATCGATCGCAAACTACAGAAATGTGTTGTGTCAGCTACAATCAACCTACCCTGTCCCGGCATGTCATTATGGGCAGCGATGGGCACGGCATTCACGGCCACTACCGCGGCGGCGGCGGCGAGTTCATGGCGACAGCCAAACAAAGCCAGATGCCGAGCGCCGCGAACGCCTCGACCGTCGTAACACGCTGGCTAGCAACGCCTTTCGTGGAACGACTCAGATTTGTGCAACCGAGCCGGCGATGTGAAATGCGCTGCTCCATGGTTTAAGCCTTGTTACAGGGTTCGTTCAGTACAAAGGCAAACGGCGCAGTCGGACTTGCAGCTAATTGTAAGCGATTCTACAGGCAGTGAACACGGCAGGCGTCCCCTGTCACACTGGCAGCAGCACGAAATCGAGCGGCATCGGCACCGCTACTCGCTAGTCGGCAAGGCAGTGCATTGGTGACACAGCGAAAAAAAGCAGGACACCGATCTAGCTCATCTAGCTTCGTGAAAATAACTAGCTGGCCACTTCCACCAAACCAGCCCCAGCCCTAGCCCGTCCCTCTGTAGTTAGCGCCCGTCCTGCCCCCCCCCCCCCCCCCGCGCGCGCAGCCGTCTCACCAATGTTGGTCGTGTAGTTGGTCGCGCCGAAGATGAGTTCCGGCGCCCGGTAGTAGCGCGAGCAGATGTACGACACGTTCGCCTCGCCGGGCTGTAGACACTTGGCACTGCCGAAGTCGCACAGTTTGAGCACGCCCGACTCGGGGTCGAGCAGCAGGTTCTGCGGCTTGATGTCCCGGTGGCAGATCCCCAGCGAGTGGATGTAGGCCAGCGAACGGAACAGCTGGTACATGTACAGCTGAGGGCGCACCGAGGGCACACAGTCAGACACTCGGCAGGCGGGTGGGCAGAGGAGCAGTCAAACGGCTAAAACACGCTGGGTGGGACGGACGCCGAGACGGGTTTTATGGTCGGGATGTCACGATGCGGTGGTGGCACCAATTCCAGTGCCTAGCAGTGAAGGAGATGTCGACTCTGTTGATCGACAGAAAACTACCGGCAAAACTGCGACAAATCTGTTACCTATGTCCCTCAGATAATATCCGTATCGATGCAGGACACGCAAACTAATGCCACGCACAAACTCTTAACACACAGCCATAAGCATTTACGCAAATATAAAAAAACGCAGTCAGTCAGGGCCAATGTTGTAAATAAGGCCCTTTGCTGGTCCCAATCGGGTCCAAACGATTTTGTTCTCCTTTATAAATTTATACTCCGGCACCTGAAATCTCTTAAATTTCCCGCCTGTGTGATGAAAAAAGGTACTATTACGCCTAAAACATGCAGTTATAGCATTGATAGAACACATTTTATCAACTGTCACATTTAGTAGGCCAAACATGTGATTTCCCTGTTGAGTGTTCTACAAGCTGACCGGTTCTCTGGACAGACTTCATTCTCCGGGACCATGACCAAAATTCACAATTCCAGCAGACCACCCTTCTTCACAGTGCAGCGCTCCGCTAACCAGCCCTGTGCGGCACACGTTCAGGCGCGCCTTACCTTGATGAAGCTGATGGGTATGGTCTGCTTGGAGCGGCTGTAGTGTCGCGACACCTTGTACACCGTCTCCGGGATGTACTCGAGCACCAGGTTCAGATACACCTCATCCTTCTGTGGGCGGGGCAGAGACGGAAGGAGGTCAATGTCGGGGACTCGGCACCACTCCATAGGGAGACCGGTCCAGACAGGAGACGGGGCGCCAACAGCAGCGAAGACTCGTCGCAAACAATCACAAACACAGACACAGACGGGGACGTCACGAACACAACACAGCAGATGTAAGTTGGGCTGGTCTGTGTGTTCGGCTGTTCTGTGTTCGCCAGTCGGTTGTTCGGTTGTTCTGTGAGTACAGCACAGTGTGGCAGGTCACAGTGTGGTATAGTCAGATGTGGTAGGCTGAGATGAAATGGTAGTTGAGGTCGTCGGTAATGAATAATGCTAAACTAAATTCATTCACCAATCAATTCATTCACCTTTCACAAGGCAACAGCTTCCTATAGAATGACATAGGGAAGTTATGATCACCTCGTCAAAAAACACAAATGCAAGCCATTGCGTATATTTCACCATGTGTCATCGGAACACATGAACAAAATCGGGCGTGAATGGAGCAGCATGCAACAGAAAAGCCATACTTACTAGGATATATCGACGCCTTTTTTTAAACCCCACATTTGTTCTCCCGTGAAGTTCAGACAAGTTATTTAGAAACATTCAAAAAAGGTACAGTCACTCAATTTTTCTCAAGTTTGTCTGTCTTGGCAGATCAAGCAATGCCAGAGCACGCTTACGAACACACAAATTTGATCAGGATCGGACACTTCTAAAAAGAGATATTTCGTGCTTCCCGGAAATTCACCGGAGAACAGATGTGGGGTTTAAAAAAAGGTGTCGATATAGCATGAGCAATCGATCACCGTAGACTTCACAACAGCCTTCACAAATATTTGGTATGACCCTCACAACCCAACAATATTTGTAATGTCATGTGCTTCCTGGGCACACTCCCACGGTACCTATTCGTTCCCCAACCGTCCTCAACACTTGGAAAGTCAACAGGATTAAAGGGCGACAGGACAAGTGGAAGACAAACATCGGCGTCGGGTGGCAATGTGCTAACACTGCAGATTAAACAGTTGGCCAGACGAACAAACACAAGGACCTCCCCGCCACTGCCACTCAAACGTCCGCGCCGTCAGGCGCCAGCTTACGTCACACCCCGATCCAACGTCCACAATGTCAACCATCCGCAGTTACAGCATCAAGGGTTCAGCTGCCGCTTTTTCCCAGACGGTTGATGTAGGGCGGATTTCTCACCAGACGCTAGTTTCCAAAATAACTAATAGAACGAAGCGCTATGGTCAGCCCGGCCAGCCTATCTCCGTGCTTTCAATGCAAGGTGCGTGGAATACCATGAACCGATGATGCTACTGGCACAGTGGGACCGTACCACACCTCACGGCACCGGCTGAAGCCTCGCCACCCAGATAACTACATACGTGACCGGGGTACGACAGACATCCACTGTGGAGGCGACTGGACGATGGTACGGCGCCACGGGCTAAGTGCTAAGACGATCAGTGTGTGGCCTCAGCGGAGATCACCTGTTGTCTGACAGATTGCAGCAGCCGGGTGACCGCCGGTGACAGACGTATCAACGAAACCACGTATATTCTGGAGCTCAGGTGGCCAGATGACAGGTGACGGCCACCTCTCCACTGTCCCACCCAGCCGGGGAGTCGCCGGGAATACTTCGCAGACCCACTGTCTACCAACCCATCCGGCCCGCAGAGTCAGCCACCTTCCAGCGCTTCATCGCATGCCAAACAGGTTCCGACAGTCCTGTGCACACAGACACTTCCGACAGCATTATGCACAGCGTCTGGGCAACAGGCGCCACTGAGACGGATGGCTAGCGGCAGAAACACCCGCCCACCGGCCGGGCGCTGGAACGACCCCGCCGCGGCGGCCTAACCCGCCCGACAGCAGGTATTTATACTAATGGTCCCGGTGGTGATGGCACAACAGCGCACACGGTCCCGCAGAGAGCGGATGGGACGAGTCCGTCAGCTGTTAGCTGCTCCGCTAAGCGACAGCGAGTGGACGTGGGAGGGTATTGAGCGCTCCTATCAGCTGGGGTACGCCCAGAGCGCTGCACAAACGGTGCGATGCAATTGTAAATAACACATGTGATACAGAACTTATCGCAACATGTGCATCAAGTCTTGGGTGGCACGGGTACAACCTGACACCGATAAGTAATGATAGCGCTATCGATAACTCGGAGAGCATTCTAGCTGCTACATTGCCCGGCAGTGACGGTCTCTGAGCCTCCTGAACTAAGCCCCGAGCTTTACAGCAGGTTGGTCACCCCGGACCTTATTTCCAACACTGTTAGATGGTAGTCCCTTCGCAGTACACACCAGACCTGCAGGTGGCTTAGTGAAATGTCACATATCGAAATGTCATATAACGTCTCCGTACGACAAACTACCGACCACCGTCACTGACCAGACAGCCCTCCGCTCCGCTGGGTCACGTGTGTCCGGCGGCACCCGTCCGGGGTCAGAGGACAGCATCACGTGACCTGACGCCTCATGGGAGTGTACACAGGGGGGGGGGGGGTAACGAGCGGTAGCAGCAGCGGTCGATATCTGGGGTCAGCTCTGGGGAACGGGGAGAAGCAGAGTCGGGGTTCAGGACGACGGTGGCTAATGTTACGGCACGACGACTGAGAGGGTATTTTTGTGATTTCGTGTAACATCGTGATGAGGAGCTTTCTTTGTTTGTCTGAGCTACAGACCACGCCGTTGTGCAGCTATGAAAGCGTTAGGTTAGCTGTATGTAACGGGTGTTGTTGCACGGTGTCAGGGCTCGGTGTAATACGATGCAGCGCGGCGGGGTGCAGCTCAGATGAATAGGTGACACATTCATACACAACAACAATCAGTTTGCATCACTGTCCGCTTCATGAATGAGCAGTCGAGAGGCATATTCAATCGTTACAACTGGTCCGACAGACCGTCACTTGGTAACAATCCGCCGCGGCACAGGTCCGACCACCGCACCGCCATGTCATATCGCCGTGATAAAGAACAGCAATAACCGCACATAGACCGTGGAATGGCCTAATACACAACCCGGGTACGAGTCGCCCGCGCCACACAGACCAAGCGCAGAACGTTCAGGAGACCACGTATCACACGAGCGGGGTATGATGAGCACAGACTCGGGTATTTTCTGCGGAGACGTGACCGAGACAGTGGGGCGGGAATCAGGGAAAGACTCAGCACAGGCGTGGGTGCAGAGTGTACACAGAATGCTAGGAATAGAGCACACAGCGACAGGGTGGTGAAACACGTCGGCAGGAGAGGCACACACTGCCGAGACAGCGCCTGCAGCAGCAGAGCAGCACAGCGTCCCGTCGCCGTAGACTCAGATCACATAATCCACAGAGCACACTAATCCACAAACAGAGCTAGTCCACAGATGAAAACCGGCCGGACTGGCGGCACGACTCAACACTACCACCATCAGCGTAGGGCGCGGCCCCACGCCACCACATACCCCCGGATAACACATCGGACAGAGCAGAGACGCCACGCCGGCGGCACAGGCAATGTCGTTTGGTCCCGCGCACGGCCGGCGTCGGCGGCTGATCTCTGTCATTAATCAGTCTACGCATCGACCGGGCCCTCAGAGCCCCGCGACCTCCCGGGCATCTCTGGCCGAGACCACCTCGCGAACGGCACGCGAGGAGCCGTCGGCCGTACTGAGATAGCCCAGAGGACAGCGTACCCTACCAGAGCGTCCATCCAACCGGACACTGAAAACCACACAGAACCACACAGCAGGAGTGCGTGCTGAGCTGATGGACTGAACACCGACACAGCGGGGGACCGTTCAGCCCCACAGTCCCGGGGGAGGTGGGGAGGGGAGGGAGGGGAGGGAGGGGGTCTCACCTGATCTCCACTGGAGTAGAAAAAGTACTTCAACTTAACTATGTTACAGTGCTCGAGCTTCCTCATTATCTGGAGCTCACGGTTCTGCGAAAAAAGAGCAAAATAAGTGAGTCACAACAGGTACCGGATACCGTCCTTCTCCAAGGATCCGCATCGGTTTTTCACGCTCAAAAATGTGCAATCTAAAATAATCAAATACTAGCATCGATTTATTACATCATATCGACTCAATATACCCTGATATCGACATTGGCGGCAGGTGACCACTTCTGCGCATCCACCAAGGCCGTGACGAGCATAGCGGAAGCTGCTAACACAATAAGCTCGATGCGTTATTAACTTTCCAAGGAGGGAAGCCGAAGACCGACAAAATCCTCCTGAAAGTCGCTAGCAAGTCTGATATGAGCTACATCGGCTACAGAAAGGAGCGGCGGGGTGCTGATGTGCGCCGTGAGGACATTTGCATATTTTAAACTTTTATAAACGAATTGAGAGAAGTATGACAATCAGCACAATATCGATGAGAATAAGCTATGAATGCTCCTAAGCTTCGACACAGTTTGGGCCCCCACACGGCTCCCTGAATAAGTTTAGTGTATACCAGCACGCACTGGTTCGAACCACCTTCGTATTGCACCATCACACCTATGTCGTGCATCTTCAAACCCCAGCCGGGCACTATTGTCAGCGTGACCCCGACCCCGACCGCAACCCGGTCGGTGGCCCACCCCGACCGCGACCGGTGGTCCACCCCGACCCGACCGGTGGCTAACCCCGACCCCGACCCGGTGGCCGACCCCGACCCGGCCGGTACCTGACCCCGACCGCGACCGGTACCTGACCCCGACCCCGACCGCGACCGGTACCTGACCCCGACCCCCACCGCGACCGGTGGCCGACCCCGACCCCGGCCCGACCGGTGGCTAACCCCGACCCGGCCGGTACCTGACCCCGACCCCGACCGCGACCGGTGGCTGACCCCAGGTAGCCGATCGGGCGTCAGTTTATGGCACCGGGCCCGTGCCAGCCGACTGGTGCTCGGCTGGACGTCCCAAGCGCTAGCGGCCACCTAAACAGACCGCCACACGGCCAAACAGCGCCCAGCTGAGCGCCCCAGCCGCCGCCCCTTCCGCTCCGATACATGGCCGCGGCGGGAGGCGAGTGGGAACGGCTCCAGACAGAGCAGAGCTGTGGTCGAATGACTATCCTCAGCGTTTCCTGTTTTTATAGATGGCTGATCGAACTGGATCATTTCTTTGCTTACATACAGATAGGCATTTCATTTAAAACCCATCCCCAATTGATCATAAAAAAGTATCAGAAAATGCCTAGTGTGACGAAGCATTGGCTGCTTGTTTTTCAATCGCATCACCCCACGTATGACCCCACTCCATCCAGTGCGATACCCCTAGCTGTGTGTAACACAATGGGCGACGGGGCGGACACAATGGGCCCAGAGAGGGGTCAGGTGGCTCACCTTGAACCGTTTGTCTTGGAGCACTTTTTTGATTGCGACGAGCTCGCCCGAGTCGCACAGCTTGGCCTGGTATACCACGCCGAAGCTTCCATTGCCTATCACCTGAAATAGAATCAAAAACGACCGGGGATCAGTGCTGAGGTGTAGATGTAGAAGCTGACGCAATACGATCGAGAAAAAAAGCTGAAGAGGATACAACGAAGAGGTGTCGCACATTCCAACTGGGAAAACAGTCGCATACTACTGGCTTCTTCAAATAACGAGTTAAGGTAATTAAAGTAAACACAGAAAGTATGTCACATAAAAAGGAAGGCGTATATAGATAATTTGTTACACGTTAACAAAGTATAAATGTTTATGTAACATCTTCATTCTCACGGTCACCTACATGAGTAACCATAAGGTGACAAGCTGGCATTGATTGTAGCTGACATCGTGTTTCAAAATCACCCAACTTGCAACGACGCAACACACAGCAGCTAAGTTCATTTCACCGATAACTTTACGCCGGGAACAATGCCACAAACTTTTAACTACGGTCACAAACTAGGACAAAAGATGACGCCTTTTTACGTAGCCGTAGAAAGAAGGAAGCGAGTCACAACACCCAGGCGGCAGCGGAGCCGGGTTTACCCGAGGAGAACCCTCCGTGGGCAGCGGTTTTCCTCCTCCCCGCCCAGCAAACAGGTTCCAGCGGGGGAGCGGGTAGCGGTAGCGGCAGTTCTTACCTTTGTGTCCGAGTAGGAGACCTCGTGCGGCTTGTCGGAGCCCACCTGGCCAGGGGTGGCCACTACCGTGGTCACCCGCTGGTTTCCATCTCTGCCTGAAACACATGGACAAACCTCGATCAACATCGCGCTCACACTGTGGAGGAACGGGCAGGGGGAGGGGGCGGCTCATGGATGAGTCAAGTCGATGTACAGCAAATGACAGGTAGAGGTATGTCACAAAAAGTTTCACCATAAACCTCAGAATACCTATGACATGACAAAGTCTATGGTTTGAAGAGGGAAGTTAAGCGTCTCGCTTTTGGCGTAGGTACTTTTCACTAGTCTCTCTACGGCCGATGACCGCATCAATGTGTGCGAGCCATTGGTACCCCATGGGGTTGAGCTTAGATACATCATCTGAGAACCATCTGAGTTGAGGTCAAAAACAGATCGGACGAAGCAAGGCAGGAAAGTACCAAACTAATTTCGTCAGCCACGAACCGTTCTTACCGCGTAACCGCCCTCACAATAAATCGATGTCCGCAGCGTCGCCAATACGGCACAGGGTCCGCTCATGATCAAACTGGGGTACCGGGACTTTGGGAGGCTGCTATTGTCCCTAACTCTCAGCTTCGACAGCCAAAAATACCACCCACATGAATACTTCACCGGCACAGGGGAGTGGCCCCGTTACGTCAGTCCCCGAGCTAGTTAACCTGCCATCCGCCGCCGAGCAGCATCCCACCGGCTTCGGCTCTCGATTCAGCCGGGTTTTACGGCCAGGGAACACACCACAACGCGTCGCCCATTTGTGGGCCGTACCACTCTACATAGCCTGCCGGCCGGGCTCGAGCAGCAGTAGCCGAGTTCGGTCCCTCAGCTGTGACAAAATGACAGCTGTGGCGCGCTCAGCATGCGAGACCGTGGTGTGAAGGCCAGCGGAGCCAAATACGGAGCACGGGTCTGACTCACTGGGCAGGGTAAGGAATAATCCGCATGAAAATGTGCATAATTTCAGGGTGCAAACATGCCCGCAGGAAAACTTGCACAAGTCCATGAAATTGGTAACGTGTCAATCATCAAAAACATGCATTTGGCATCAAAACCAGACATTGAGCACAACCCATGCAAGTTCAGCATTAATAACATAATCCATGGCACGAGGAGCTCAGGTTCGACAAGGTCCTGTCAGCTAAACCCGGCGAGAAACCCATGTGCACGTAACGCAGCCAGACACGTGATCTCGGGCGTCCAGTTTCAGCAAAGTATCGGCTGGCGTGTAAAAATGCGCTGATTGGGTCGGCACATGGTCCTGTGGCGACCCGCCCCACCGAACGCCGCCTCCACCCATCCCAACTGCCCGCTGTAGGCCACACGAACACAGCCCCTCGTCTAGCCGTCCCAGGCCGTGCCTGGCTGTCCAACTCCCAAGTAACAGCGACGAGCGAAGTTTGGAGGGGGTGCTGTCGAATCGGTCACACCGCACGCGGCGTCCTTCAGCTCTGCGTCACGGAGCGGTGATCTGGCGGTGCGGATCGGGCGCGGCGGCCGGCCCAGCTCTGCGGCGCGGCGCACTGCCCGCCGGCCGCGGCGACCTTGGCCCGGCAGGGAGGCCGCCGCCGTTACGGCCGCGGTCGGCAGACACCAGCTGATCGGTCAGAGCGGCACAAAACGCAGAGTGCAACCCGTCATAGGTGGCCAAGCAACAGTGGTCGTGATGCAAACAGCAAACAAACAGAAGATTGCATGCCGCAGCCCCGCAATCAGCCCTGAAGCAACCGAGTGGCACTGGAAAATCGCAACTAGCGATGAGTCAACAACATGCAATGACTGTCAGTCTGAGTCCGGGTGGGGAAGCACGGACAGGGAAGCTTTATCAAAGTTCAGCGCCAGGTGCAATAGAGGCAGCTCCACGGTCTGAACCAATACTATCAAAGTAGCAGCGAAGCCCAACGGAAGGGCAGCCGAGCCATCGGCGTTAGTGGCAGGCTGCGCGGCTCTCCGGATCAATACGATTAGCCTTCCATCTAGCAGATGAAAAGCAGCCGGATTCGGTCCCATCGGCGCATGTTTCCGAGCCCCGCGGCTCGATTCAATAACGCGTCCTCAGCTGAGTGGACGGAAGACTGGAGCCCGGAGCGGTCACTCGGGTCGCCGTCCGTTCGAGTGAGACAACAGTCCGGCCTCGGCCGGCCTGCGACGGCCACCGGCAATTGTGTAAGCACGATAAGTACGCCTATTCGCGTCTGGCAATCCATCACGGCAGCCGGCGCGGCCTGCGGCAGACGGAGCCGGCCCGGCGGCGAGGCGAACTGGCTGCGCCGCCGCGCCCCTCCCCTGCCCTGCAGCCACTGCGGCTGATCAGAGGGCAGACAGACAGACAAACATGTCGGTACACACACAGCGGCAGCGCGCACAGCGCAACGGCTGCAGTCTTCCCGAAAACAGCGTCCGCCGAACGTCCGCGGCCGCAGGACTGACATTACGGCGTGTGGGCGTCCCGTGCACGCGGCTCGGCCTGCACCCTGCACAGTACGGTGGATACTCCGTCCGAGAACTCACACGCTCCCCGAGTCAGACACTATCCGGTTCCCACCGCGACCTACAGGTGATGGCCGGCGTTTCTCCCGCGGAACTGGTTCTGCCACAATGGCGATGCTTCACTGGAAAGTCGGTGACCCCAAAGATTCGGACAAACTAGGAAACTAGGATCGTTGTAATCCGTTTACGTGAGTAAGTTCAGGTCGACGTGAGGCCGGTGTCGTGATTCCTACACAGCTCTATTGCACTGCCCTGCGAACCGCGACAACAGATATCCCTTGGTCGAACCGGGTTCTTCGGCTGAGCCGAGCCAACCCATCCGGGCAAAAACCGATTTTCTGATTAAGTGTTCCGGTTCTCCACACCGGGTCGCGCCATGTGGTTACACAAAGCTCGTGCTAAGCCGATCTCCGTCACCCGGCGACCGGCGGCGGCTGTGTCAGCTTTGTCGAATCGCCACAGCTGTGTCAGCTCTGCCTACACGTCACTACACGACACGCCACGGCCCGACAGGCCGCCGCCCCCGCCGGCCAGACCGGCAGCGGCCAATCTAATCGGCGTCCGGCCGCGCGCGCCGCTCGTCAGCCATGAGGCATGTCTCGGACAGGCCAGTGCGCCGGGCCGCGACACCAGCGACGGGTATTCACGGCCGGCGATGGCGTGCCCGCAGTGGGAGGCGCCACAGCTGCCGCCGGGCGGGCGACCCGACAGCGAACACCTGCGCCGCTGACGTGTCGACCGGAAAAGATCAGCACCGCCGCCCACAACAGAAGACAAAACTCGGCCTGTAAGAGTGTCTGATACGATGAAATCCACTCGAATTGTGTGCTTCTGGCTTGGTCAAATAAACCCAGCCGGATTGTGGTTGATCTTTGGTCTGGCTCTCCGCCGCTCTCTCTTTCTCTCTCTGTTCCTCCCGGTCTCTAACTGCGCAGCGCCGCCGGTCACGGCTGAGGTCAAGTGTGACTGGGGAGCAAACAGCGGTGGCCGCCGGCTGGAGTGTCGACACAGGCGGAGCGGGCAGACCGCACGGGACGGTCCCGACCGGTGCCGACCTCGGCCCGTCGCCTGCCGCCGGCTGGTTCAATGCGGGCGCGGCGGCGGCGCCTCCAAACAAAGGCCGCCACCGTTGCCTGTTGTGCGGCCATTGGCCGGGCCGGTCGGTCGGTCGGGTCAGGCCGCCGCCGACTGGGGTGACACGGTCGGTGCGTGCGCTCACCGAGGACGCCCGTCACGCCAGCGCCGGCCCCGCCCTCCGGCCCGGCGCAGCCCTGACCACGGCACGGCTGGAAGCCCCGCTGTCGTGAGCGGCCTCCAGCGGCCTGCCGGCGCCGGAGCAGCACGACTCGGCTGTCAACTCGTCACAGTGTGTCAGCCAGGGTGATTGTCGCAACTCACCGCCGTCCTTAAATCGGCCGAACGCCCGTTTGGCCGACGATAGGTCGCTGAGCCGGTGCTGACTCCAACTCTTCCAGCCGAACCTGTTGGGCTTGCCGGTGCTGTCGCGCTCGAGGCTGGGCGGCGCCGCGCGCGCCTTGGCCTCACTGGTCGGCCTCCGCTCCTGGTTCACATTGTCCACACTGTGATGCTGCCGGCGCAATTTGGGCTGCGACGCCGCCTCTCGCTTCCGTTCGCCCATGTCTGAGGCGTTGGCGCGGCGGCTCGCCACCGTCCGGCGCACTCACCACTCCCCGTTCACAAACACGTCACGTCACACCGCACCGTGACGTCACCGAGCGCAGCGCGTCACCTCGCGTCACGGCGGCTCACTCCAGCGTGCAGCGCCGCGCGCCAAACACACTCACACGCCGACACGAGCTCTATCGCCGCTCACTGTAGGGCAGCAGACGGCGCGGTCGGCCGCCAGCTCGGCTCACTGCGCGGGGCTGACTGGCCGGTCGGCGGCGGCGGCGCGGCGGCGGCCTACCGGTCGGCGGCGGCGGAGTGGCTGCTGCCGCGCCGGCGGCCGCAGCCACAGGTGGCTGACTGGCGGCGCGGCGCCCTCCCGGATGTGTCGGCCCGTGTGCGCCGTCCGGCCGGTCGCCGGCACTGATAGCACCACTCAGAGCGACCGGACACTGTGACCAGCCCACAGACAGCCCAACGACGCAGCACTCGAGCGGAAATTATCCATCAGAGACAGACCAAAAAACGCCCAGACATCGCACAGAATCCCAACAAAGCCACTTGTAATCGCCAAGGTATGGCTGCAAAAAGCCAAACTAATCTATCACACAGTTGCGAGCGCCGAGTGCTGACCAAACAGAAACAAACACTTGTGACACAAGGACAAGATTGCCAGCCGGCGGCCTTGGACTGTCCTCCAGGAGAGCAGCGATGGGCGCTGCGAACTCTCCCCACGAGCTGCTCCACGGCAGAACGCACCAGGGCAAGGAGCATTACTCCTTTGGCACACATGGCGCCTCTCGAACAAGGAGGGAGGAAAACCACTAACGATACGGCGAAAGGAACAATGGCAGTAGGCACGGCCCGCAGCAGAAAGGCGAGGGGAGGTGTAGGAAAATCGGCTGCACTTCACCAGCCTATTGTGAAACGCGGCTTCCCCTGTGGC